CGTCTCAAACAGCATAGTATTATGGATCAAACTTTCTTGCTTTGTTTTTTTTTTGTGTTATAAATTTCAAGACTTTAGCAGTTGATTTTTCTCTCCGTACTTTACCAATTACACATTTTTAGCAATGGTTTTGACTGTGGCTTTTGACAGTGTGTTGTGTGTCTTTAAAATGCTGCAGTTCCTGATTATGTTGTTATTTAATATTTAACAATACACATCATTTTTTGATTCATTTGACAACACATCATTATAGCTGCTGGGTAATTCTATTCCTCCTTAGAATTTTTCACTAGCAAGAATGCAGTTATAATTTCTCTAATTGGAGTTCAGTTCAGCAATTATTTTGTTGCTCATTGTGTGGCTGACAGCTGTTGACCTTTACTGGCCTTTTTTAGGCAACTTTGTTTCACTCAGCCTCAAATTACTTGCATACATTTTGATGCAGTAGGGCCACAAAAAAGAGTAGGTAGACAGTGTTGGGCTAAAGAAATGTAAAAAACAACAACAAACAAACAGTATTTACAGAAGTGAAGAATAGATGATTTCCAAAGTCCGAAGGGCCAGCAAACAAAGGACTATGATGTCGCGTGAACCCATCTGCTAGACTATAAAAGTCATATGACATCACATTCATATAATCCAGGTACCTTAGGATGAAAAAAAACATTTGATTAATTTTTTCATGAATGGCTATTTAAAACTATTTAAAGAAAAGACACACACACACATATACTGTACATGTAAAAAAACAAGTTTCATTTACATGGAAATTTGTGGAATGTCGTAGCCTGCCATATTCCCCATGTATGAAGGCACTGCTGCGGTCAACAGTAACCTGGGCGTGCTGGTTCCTGCTACTTCAGCCTCAAAGGCTTGTAGTGTCTCCTGTACAACATGGGGACATACATCAGGTAACCCAATGGTACACCAAAATGACTACATTCATTCTGGACTGACAAAGTGGTCGCGTCATTGGCGACCACATCAGACCTGGCACAGCGCCGTGAATCGGTCTTTGTCGGCAACTGAAGGGAATTCCCAATCCAAGTTGATCCCATCAAAGTCATAAT